TACCTAACCAAAATATTTTTGTGTTACAAAATACCAACCTACCACAAAGCAAATAAAAATAAATTATTACAACTCTTTCATATATTTTTCCTTCTTTCGTTTGTTCTTTACATAAAATTGACAGTACATTTTTAAAGCAGAATCAACGTTTCCTTTAATCACAATTCGCACACAAAAATGAAACATCAAAATATAAAATCAGAAACTGTATTGTCGAGTAAAGTTCATCAGGTCACAACAGTACCAACAAATACATTAAGCATTCTCGTACTGGATATATTTGGTTTTCTTTTATATTTAAAATAAAATGATTAAAACAATAGCTACGTAATAGCAAGATAATAATTGGTATTAATGTGACTATTTATCTATAAAAATGTAAGAGATAAATTGAACAATTAGTACCTAAAAACCAGTTATTGCATGCAATGAAGATCTATTAACCATTATGACCTAAACATAAAGCCCTTTCGAACCGGATCAGCTCATTGTGTTACGTGTGTCATTGTATTATTTTATATTTTACATCTATATGTATTTGTCTAATTCCTTCACAATTAATTTTACAATTAAGCTCTAATGTAGAAAGCAGAGTCTGGGATAACATTATAAGATACAGTTCTCAAGAAAAGGTAAGTAACATGCCTAACTTATCCTATAAAAATGATATCTTATTCTAGATATTTTTTTCCATATTCAGGCGCTATTTGCATAGTATCAGGCCTGAACAATCTGAAAAAGAATATCAAAAATCACCGTATTACAGTAACGTTTTTTTTTTCTAATATACTATTATAACACTACAAAATTCGATGTATTATTCCGAAGTTTTAATATGCACTCATTGTGAAATTAGCGAAATAGTCATTAGTCCAGATGATCCATTTCTCGTTGCTGGATAAAAATATCCCCATCACCTACTTTAATAAACAACTGCATAAAATATAGGATGAAATCGTAACAATTGCCATCTTTTTAACGGAGTGTTCTGTCAGTTGACCGAACATTATTTCCATTACTTGACACCTTGTCTCACTTTTTTAATAAATGCATAATTTTTTTTTCTTCTTGCATCCTTAACAATCACGAAAAATTTTCAATTGTAGAAAAAATGGTTGCTTAATCTCTTTTAAAGCCAAACCAATGTTTTAGTTTTAGCCCTATAATATTATTACTATGTACTAGGCATAGGTAATATGAATACCGATCCGATATCTATATATTGAGTTCTTCAGGACACTAATGATGGAAAAAAGGTCATAGCCCATTTCGTTATCGCCCATCTCGGTCGGATGTCTATTATCAAATATGTTAAAAGTCTATTATCCAATATAATTTTTTGGATAACAAACCATAACCAAATTTACCATAATGGTAAACATATTCAATATTGAACCAGTATATAGATATTGAGATATATAGATATATATAACTAAAATATATAGTTATTGCTATATATTACCCATCCCTACTATGTACGTGTTATATGAAAATATTGTCTTATAAAACTTCACATGCGTGATTACATATATATGAACCTTGTCTTTAAAATCACTTGTACTCAAACATTAGAACGAAGAAATTACCACACATTTCTGGTTCGAGACTTGTTACTTTTGCTATACAATTGTGAATCGATGGAGACGTATAGGCGTAGTCTACATTAGGTACACACGACCGGCTGCGGCATGACCTGTCCACGTGTTGCAACCGGAGGTGTTGAGCATAGTGCACATTCATTGTACGCGGATATGGGACACACATTTTGATATTTGTAATTATGCAATAATGTTATAATTATTATTGTAAGTTAATAATGATATTAGGATATTTACCTAGAAGGATATTAGCCCTACAAGCTTGACTTCGAAGACTTTTATTTCTTTAGTTTACGTTTACTTGCTTTGTTCTTTTCTTTGTTCTTCTACTCGTCTCTTACAACATTCAAGGATTCAAAAGGAGCTGTGGCTTATTTTATTCTTTCTCCAATACTATACCTATAGTTTTTTAAAGAGGAACCCACGTCCAGTAGTGGGTGTTAATGGATTTTTATGACTGCGATTTAGGTAGATAATAATAACCTTAAAAGGTATCTAGTCTTAAAGTTTAGCTCGCCCCATAATCTAGACATTTGTGTGAGATATTTTATTAATTTTACTGATATAATAAAATTGTAACTTGTCTTTGCATAAAAGATATTTAAAAATAATAATATGAGGGGTCTAATAAGACCATTAGATGCCAAAACAATAGTTTTTAGGATTTTTTCCATGTCTATATGTCTGTATATTTGTTCTGGCATCACGCAATATTCCCACGCGTACGAAGTAACATTTAAAAGGCTAGTATGATATAAAAAATGTTTAATATAATCTGTGACGAACAATTAACTATTTCATTACTAACTTACTCATTAATACGAATAAAATGTTCTTGCAAATCTACATAAATGAATTTTAAATGCTATTTGTCGGTAAACTTATATGGATAACATGAGCTTGACAGAACCGATTACTTTTAACGAAAGACCTATAATAAAGTATATGATTTAACCAAGAATACTAGTAAGCGTATTATAGCTTAAATAATAATTCATAGATTTAAATAATTTACCAAAGGAAGGCTTTGTACAAAAGTCGTTTGCTTGGGTGCCTCTGTCCCATTGCTTGTTTCAGCCGTAAAGCAGTTGTGTTTGTATGGCTGTGTTTCGGTTTGAAGGGTGGGACATGGCGTGAATTTACTGGGTACAGAGGAATAACATCTGAGTCCTCAGGAATGGCAACGCATGGGAGGTATCATGGGCGAAACAGTATACACTGTTATGTCCATGGTACTGCTCATGTCTATAGGCGACGGTTACCACTTTCCATCAGGTGGGCTGTCAACTTGTTTTCCATTCTTAGTTGTATAAAAACATATATAATATATTAGGTGATTCTACACCCGCCCTGTTCAAATTCTATTTTTTTATCTTTATATCCCTTATCTTTATTTCTCATTTGATAGAATGAATACTTTTGACTATAAACTTCGAAATGACTAATTACTACTATTGACTGCTGATACTAGAATAGTAGTATTGGTCTATGCCATTGTTGTCTGATTGAATTACATTATGCAATCTTCCTCTAACTCACGCTATATTATAAGATGTTGCGTTATGGTATCCAATAATAACAGATAATGTAAATAATGTATAAATTCAAAATATGCACTTTTAAACGTATCTAAATACAGTTTTGCCAAGGATTTGCGCTATTTTATAGTAGGTATCTCTCTATGTTTAGACAAAAGAGCTTACAATTTACATATTTCGAATAGGCTTAATGTAAGCAGAATAATCCACGTTTAGAACAATACAATGTCACGTAATGTTCAAATGTAATTCTTGAATTCTAGGGAGACATTTCATAAGAGTATTATGTTCTATTAGCACACTTAAAAAGGACGTAGATACAAAGAAATATCTTTGTCAATTAATATTAATTACCTTATAATATCTAACAGTCTACAGAATTCTTCTACCAATTTTCAAACTAACATAAGTAAGTAATGTATAGACTGCATTCAGAATTGGCATACACTAGTTCGGGACACATCAAATGCGTTGGGTCACTTGTTGTTTCAAACTACACAGTCGCTTGCTGAACAAGCGACTCTGTAGTCCCTTATTCAAAAGAGTTTTTTTTTTTTATTTAAAATATTGGAATATTATCCCGCTTCAACTATTGATATACATTGGCAGGGTACCAGTGAATGATAATAGGGAAAGATGTATCATGTTCAGTTAGCCTATTGTAACGAATTCAACAAGATTTAATCACGACGGTTTCTAGGGGAGTTCTGCGGAGAAGTCGATCTAAGAGGTAATATTGCTGGCAAAAGGCAAAGGGGCTGGAATTATCGTCCCCATTACTAATAATTCCTCTTCCACGTGACAACAATTATTTTTTTCAATAGATGATAATGAAGGATGGTAGGTGAGAATGAAAGGACAAGGTCAGTAGCCCATCGTGATGAATACCCCTGGAATTCATCACGATGTTTTCCATGGGGGCCACGTGGAGATCGACTTGACAAGGTATATTGCTAGCAATGGAACTTATAGTACTTATAGCTGACAACCCCTTCCCCCCTGATGACAGATATTAGTTCTACAGTTTCGGGGTGGATAAAGGTACTCTTATAAACAACTATTCTGTAAAAGTTGACAAGATTACTAGTAACGGGGTCTAGCTGTCCTGTACCTTATAGGTTGATCCTTAAGCGTTTCCCCCTGCAAATTAACATTGTCAATTGCTGATGAATTAATCACGATGGTCAATTTGATCCAACTTTATGTTCACCTTATCATTCCTTTAATTGTATCCAATATAAATACCAGTGTATACCAGAAACTGGGGTCTCTATAGTAGGTATATCACAAAATCTTCTATAACTCACTCTTCATAAGCATTCAAGCATATTCAGAGGGCCAGTCTACTCATATGCACACAGACTGTATGAACTATACACACATAGGCAATTTGAATTATTTTATACAAATTATTGCCCGTGATGTCCACGTTATCGAGATTACATTAATTAACTAGGATAAAACTTAGATATCCTTCTCCATCCCAAATACTACATAGATACGAAACTTTATAATAATTGATTGAGCCGTTTAGGCATTGAAACATAACAAACCTAGTTTCATATTAATTATATTCCCAAGAATTGCTTTGCATCCAAAGATGGCGTTAAACAAATGACTGATCGGGATCTCCTATAAAACTATATCACGAAATGAGCTCTCATTTTGCTTATTCGATGTATAAAATTAGCTACAGATATAGGAAAGTTCCCAAGATTTAATTTGTTGATCTCATAAATCTTAATGTGTGTTTTCATATGGTATTTCGCGACAGGGTCCTAACTAGCCGTTGGTAATGCAAGGCGTGCGCCGGCGCACGGGGGTAACGAGTTAGTATAAAAGTTGGTGTATGCACTTAGACGGTATCACTTGCTGTAGTGGATTTAATATAGCATAATGGCAGCCAAGGTACTGGTCATTGTGAATTATTTGTGTAAAACTATAAAATATGTTAATAATATTAATTGTGAATCAAAAACTGAAGTCGAACTTCAATTTGCTAATAGTTTTCTTAATGTGCATCTGAAATTTTTATATTATTTTAATAGTACAACTAGTGGATTATTTAAAATTTGTTGTGATTCCTATCATAAGAATAATTATGATAATCTTTACTAATATTATAAATGTGAAAGTGAATTTTTTAGTTAGTACTTGTCGCCTTAACGGCTGTACCAATTGTCATAGACTTTGACATACACCTACTATTTGAGATAGATTTTGTCTTGTTTAATCAACATGCCCAGATTACGCGGACGATGTCGCGGCTAGAAACTAGTACAGAGATATAACTTATAACTGATCAAAACTATTTTATTAAAAAAAAAAAGAAATTACGAAAGTCGATGAAAATATTTCATATCAAAAATATGTATTCAAATCTTAAATTAGTTTGTTAATCGAGTTTGTTTTCTTTTATTTTTTAATTATATTACTTGATATTTTTTGTATCTTTATTGTAACTTAAAATTTATAGTAATTATTATGTTATTATGAAGATACTATGTCAGCTACTATAATTACCAAAAAAGTACCTAAGATAGAGAACTTTAAGTTTTGATAATTTTAATTATGTAATATATAATAACTATTATGTTTGGTATATATTACACAATACTCGTATTCTCGCCATACCCATAGGATCTATATCCTACTCGGCCCCTGTAGCATACTCATCTAGATAACTGAATAGGGTAAATTTATCACAAATCACGCGGACAATGTCTCAGGAGTGAAAGAAAGAACAACTTATGTATATATAATCCATAACAACTGTCGATTCTATTGTTTTAGTTTTTTTTTTTACACCAGCAAGGTGGCAAACAACTTTACAGCCCGTCTAGTGCTAAACAGCCGCCTGTAACACTAGGGGTGTCACATGCACTTTACCGATCCTGAAGAAACCTTAATACACCTTTTTCGAGGAACACCCAACCTGTAGTCTCTAGGAATCTTTAGTTTACTACTTTTACAATATTATACCACTCTTCCAAAAATAAACTTTTTTTATTTATGTAAACAAATATGTTTCTTTATTGTTACAGTTTGTAGTCCTTCTGTGTGCGGTGGCAAGCGCTCGCGCTGGTGGTCTCATCGGAGCCACATACGGCGCAGCTCCCTTGACTTACGCCGCACATGCCGCACCACTCTCCTACGCGGCCTCACCTATCATCAAAAGCTATGCCGCACCCGCCTACTCTACGTACGCGGCGCCATCAGTAGCCTACTCAGCCCCATCAGTAGCCTACTCAGCCCCATCGGTTGCCTACTCGGCCCCTGTAGCATACTCATCCCCCATAGTCAAAGCCGTCGCTCCAGCGGTCTCCTCTGTCTCGTCATACTCCACACAAACAGCGCATGCCGCTCCGATATACGCCAAAGCGGTAGCCCCAGTCGCGACATACGCCGCTGCCCCTGTCGCTAGCTATGCGCACGCGCCGGTGTTATCCTCTCCCCTCACCACATACGCCGCGCATGCCGCTCCTATCGCGACATACGCCGCACATGCTCCTCTAGCTACTTACGCCGCAGCGCCTGTTCTGAAGTCGGCTCTCACATACTCCGCAGCCCCAGCTGTCTCTCATGTGTCATACAGTGGCCTCGCCGCCAACTATGGCTGGTGATCACTTATACGACTGTACAAATCTAGTTGTTTTATTTTTGTATATTTATTTTTATACGATATGAATAAATGTTAAAAAAGAATTATCTATTTTTTCTATCATTATCACTAATCCAAAACATAACAATCGTAATCATGTATTTTGCTCCGCAAAAAAGAACAACACCAAATAAAAAAGTATATCGAGATATCTCGTCTGTTACGCACACTGAGGTCGATACTGAGGTACCATTTTTCTACACCTATCACGTAACCTTAATTTATTTATTTTAATTTGGTAATATCGTAATAAATAGTTTTATGGATCATCATAAACTCATTATTGTAATTTCATACAATATTTTTTTTCTTAAATCTACTAGAAAATGAGTTCATATTGATCCTTATATATCTTATAATAAATATTTCGCTGTGATATGAAATTGAAATTTTAATTTTAGAGAAAGATTTAGAGGCTGCTCAGAATCGACCCCACTATGTGCATGTTGGAAATATTTTATCAGAATGCACTAAATATCTAAAAGTAAATTTTGTTTCACAACGAGCAGTTTATATTTCACAAAGAATAATGGCAGCTTTAATCAGCGCATAATTAATATGGACGGTATGTAAAAAGAAACCTGCAATTTTAATTTTTTTTTTTCTATTACATTTCCAAATAGATATAGTTTAGGTTAGAGTAATAAGTAAAAAAGATCATATCGTTCCCTGATTCAAAGTACACTCAATGAGGTTAAGATGAATAATAGATTGCTGAAAACATTAAATCCCTTGATGTCAGTCAGTCAATCCAAAGTAAATCCGTTGCGAACTGTCAGATACTTAACCTAAATGCTTCCAAATGATAATTCTGAACGAATTTGGTGATTGACATTATCATGTCTATTATTCAATAACTTTATATTCGTTTTTGTTGCAATTTTTACTGTTTAATATAATATATTCATAGGGTGTCGTAACAAATGACCACGAGGACTTAATGCTTTTAAAACATCAAAAAAAAAAACATCACCAAAGGCCTAACTGCGGTTGCCAATTCGCCTACCAAGTGTGGCAATTACTAGCATATTTTCTCCTCATAGTGGAATTCTTATATTCAGCAGTAGACAGTTATAAAAAAAGCGCTACCTATATTTTAACATAACATGTAATACAGATATAGTTTTTTTTTTTTTATATATATACAACTTAGAATGGCAAACAAGCTGACGGCCCACCTGATGGAATATGGTAACCGTCGCCTATAGACATGAGCAGTACCATGGACATAACAGAGTATACTGTTTCGCCCATGATACCCCCCATGCGTTGCCATTCCTGAGGAATCAGGTGTTATTCCTCTGTACCCTGTAAATTCACGTCATATCCCACCCTTCAAACCGAAGGGTGGGATGTATATGCACACCCATTAAGGATAGCGTATATAGTTATTTCATAATCATATTATGTTATTATTTAAAGTAAAATTAGACATTATATTATTATTCTATCGTATTTAAGACCTGCGCTCTTGTCGGTGGAGCTCTTGCCACTCACTATGGTATATTATATATATGTTATTTATAAATTACTGTTTTATATTAATATTGTTTTTGTTTTTCTATTTATTTGTTTATTACGTTGCACTGTCCATTATATTTTGTTATTCCTCTGACAACTGGCAGATAACACCATATGGTGTTAAGTCCACCAATTACACTATCTGGATGTGTTAAAGTTTAATAAATAAATAAATAATAAATTAATCAGTAATTAAATTAAGTGTATTTATTACAAAAATTTTCTTTAATATTATATACAATATACGAATATAATTATACTGCCTTGACATGGTTTCACCTTGACATAGGCGACCATGTCAAAGCCGTCGTTTTCATATACGTATACCGTCTGAGAGATGGTATCGGTTATTAATCGTGCAGCTGTAACAATTATACGCCATATTATAACAAAACCACGCCAGCAGATCTTGCTTCGCAAAAAATTGTTTATATTAAAATAGTATATTTCATTAATGAGAAAACAAACACAGCCTACTATTGACTGTTTACCATAAAAAAAAATTAAATAGGCGATAGCCAAGTGACAGACAGAACTTTAGACGTCTTAATTCGAAAATATACATAACATTTGTTTATATCAAAACAAAAGACTACCAGTTGTATTAAAAAATAGAAATCCAATAAATTAAAAAGTTTAATTATGTATAGATTATTTAACTCTAGATTTTGGCACATAAACATTATTACACCGACTAAACAAAGTTTAATCGCTTAGAATTTTAGTAACTGTACAAACTTTGCATAGACATTGTTTTAAATTATTTTTGTAGTGCAATCGTAATATGTATAGCAAATTTTTTACAGTAGTGCACATTGCACAGGCATCCGGGCAATAAAAATTCCTTAAACAGAAATAGCGTATGTTTACATCCAAAAACTTTAATTGTTACGAAATTAACATTTACTATTCTTATAGATTTTTAAAACAAATATATCAAATTACGAATAAAGATATGTTTTTTAAAATTATTATATTATTATCTGAATTTAAAATCGAAATCGTGTAGGTATCTACAAGTAGATCGCAATTATTTGTTGCAAGATCTGCAAATAAAAACGGAGCTGTAAGCGTCATAGTCCAAGATAAAGACACGCCCATACAGCTCAAGGTCAAGGTTATTTAATTCGTCTTAATACTCCATAGTAATGAATTCTTTGTACAAATAGTTATCAGATCCTATTGATTGCAAGAATCTGAAATCGTTTCAGAATAGACAAGTACAAAGGAGATTATACCTTGTGTATTTTTTATGAAAAGTCATAGCACTCGGGCATTCTCTTTAACCTTTAGGTATAATATATATAATATGTATAAAAAATAATAGCTTAAAAATTTATAATCCCTCATTTTAAAGTGGGTTGAAAATAAACAAATTACTTCAAGCCCATTTGACATACTGACGAAAACAACATAGGCAAATACTGTGATTTGTTTGTTATGGCTTAAAACAAAATTGAATATCCATAACCATAAAGAGGCCGTGTAACCAAAAGCGGTCAAGCGGAAAAAGCTTTTAGCACAATACGCCCACGAAAGGTTCCTTACGTAGCGTTCGTAGAGGAACTGATACTTAAAGTAGTATTGGGAAGGTAGGTGCCTAATACAAGGACTTTAAATCAATACGTAATTAAAACAAATTTGGTGACGTGTTTGCGTCAATTTAATTAAAATTATATTGTTACAAGTTTTTACCCGCGACTTTTTCTGCGTGACCGGGATATGTTTACTGACCGGGATAAAAAATGGCCTATATCCTTCAGTCCAGTCCATGTAGTATGTGTATACCCAATTTCATAGTGATCGATTAAATCATTAAGGCGCTATAAAGTAACAAACAAGCAATCTCACTTTCACATTTTAGTAAGGATTATCTTCTCTATAATACAGGGAGCAAACGAGCATGCGATTCGCCTGATGGTATGTGAACACCACCGCCCATGAGCAATCGCAACACCAGAGGTATCGCAGGTGTGCTGCCGGCCTTTTAAAAAGGAATATGCTGTTTTCTTGAAGGTTACGATGCCGTATCGGTTCGAAAATATTATTCAGATTATGCCTATAATTAATATTATTACATATAATACAATAATCATTATATGTATAATATTATCAATTATTTATAATAATGTAATATATTTTATAAAAAATAAGTATATCTTTAACATTAGGTTTTATAGCCGACAATAGTCGGCTTCAGTGAAATATATTAGGATGTATTATTTAAAAGACTGTTCCATATTAATTCTATTAAATGTGAAATCGGATATTTATCGAATATCTATTTCCATTTTCACCTTACATTATTGTGAGTGATATTGATATTTTCCGCTAATTCTGAACTGAACTTGATAATTGTTTTTGGAATCGATTGTCGATAAAATTATGTTAGTCCCACATTAATTTTGTCACAATGACAAGAATGTTGCCTACTATTATATAGACTATATATGTAGATAAAAATCAGGTGCCGTATGTAAGTGTATTATTTAAAGGCTGCACCTATTTGGCTAATTACTTTATTGTTGCATTTCTAATTGCCAAGAAATGTATAGTTTGTATATAAAAAAATAATTAATAAAAAACATATACGAAAATAGTAAAAATGTTGAGTAAATAAAAATAAAATTTACAATAAATAAAGCTCCATAAATTAATATTTTATAAGGAAGATTTGATCTCATTTTCTTAATATATCCGTATGAAACCGGGACGGCGAGCTAATCATAAAGGGTGTACTGGTTTTCGTTAATTTATTTTGATATCAAAATAAACATCAATATACCATTATCCACTTAACCTCACAATCGTACATATCTCGTAAAGAGCTGAAAAATATGCGTAGGTAATTACAAAAATAAATCACGACAGCTGATTTACTAGGTCAATGCAACGAAACACGGTATTTCCGGTAAATTAACTCAAGTTTGGCATAAACACGTAATTAATTAACATTTTAAAATGCCTCTACCGTCAACAATTGTATCAACAATGAATTAGATTACAATCTAATTAATGCTTATATCTCGCAAGGTCAAGACTGTCAAGATATTATGACGAAAGTGCCCTCTCGTCACGCAAGCTTCATTGATAAATACAATAAGTGATTGTGATTATTATTTCAAAACTAATGTCATTTGCATTGAAAATAATGATAATGCCCATGTACAAAAGAGTTGATAAGTTATTATATTTATTTATATTATCTACATACATTGCCATAAGTTTAAATATGTAAAGGCTCATTTAAATTATATATATTTTAGGGTGATCGGCATAAAATAAAAGTCTGCTCGTTTGGACAGTTATTATATTTCACATTAAATGTTCCAAACACGACTGCCCTTTCCAATATGGTATCGCCATTTTAAATTCATTGATTATAACCACTGAGTCGTTGAATGACTAGTACTTGTTTTGATAAATCATTAATTATTATAAAAAAAATATTCAAAACGTAGAAAATGCAAATAATTTGGTAACACCTTATATATATTTAGCAACTTAGAATGGCAAATACGCTGGCGACC